ACACACACACACACACACACACACACACACACACGAACAAAATAGTTATTCAAATTCATTCTAGTAATTGGTATAAATTTCCTTTTAAATCTTTCACATTTCTTTTCAATATTTTATCCATCTTCAGAAACAATTACAATGTTTCCCTCTCTTTATTATTGCATTAATTATAAATAAACATACCATTATGTAACAATACAGTTTTATCTCATGGATTATTTACTTATTTCATTTCTAACTCATTACAGTATTCTACTGTCACAAAACTATCTTTTGTACCTTTGCAGAATCATCATTTTTAACTTAATTTCGCCATTGTCTGTGTTTTCTAGCTGAGCAAATACCTTTAATCCTAGTACGTTTCTCCTTTTTCTTTATTTCCTACTTTTGTCCCTCATGAGTTCTTTCCCTTTCTATCTTCTCCCCTTTTTTCTCATCCCTTTTTTATATACTCTTCTCTCTCTAATTTTCCCTTCTGTGGTTTTCTTTTCTGCTTCTCCTTGCTGTTATACTTCCTTTTCAGACTATTTTTCTTTTTGGCTGTTCCCTTTAATCTCAAACTTTTAACTCCTTTCCCCCTTTTCCCCCTTATGACCACATTTTGCATTATTTGATCATTGAAAATGGCTTCTTCTTTGTCCTGACCTTCTTCTTGCTCTTGAAGCTTTTCCTTTTGCTTTTCATAGTTCAGGATCTCCATTTCAGGAAATTCAAATACGAAGCCAAAGGATCTTCCTCCCCTTTCTGCATCTTCTTTCTGTTTTTTAAGACTCATCTTCAATTCCTCCAGGAGTGATGGCATTTTAAGCACTTTTGAACAACCACCCGATTTACTTTAAGTAAAAACAGAAAAAGAAAAAAAAAACCAATGCCAAAAACTTTTTTTTAAATCACCAAATGATCCCAGACTGTTCCTTCTTGTTTCTTTCCTTTACTTTTCTTTTCCGTGGGTTACTGTATCTTTTAATAAGGTTTCAGTTACAATGTATCTTCGGGAGTCTTTTCAAAGTTTTGCTGTTAATCCTCTTTATATTTCCTGGTGGCACTCCATTTTTCCATTATTCCAAGTTCCACCCTTTTGCCTCCACTCTCCTCCTTTTTAGGGCTTTAAAATGACCAAAGAAAAAATCTTTATTCTCCTTTTGACACTTAAATTTCAGCTTAAAGTTGCCTATTAGTGTCAAAGTAAATTAATATAGATTTCTTTCCATATCATTTGTAATTGTCAAAATAAAGGGTTAAAAAAAAGTCTTTTTAACCTCCTTTGCCGCTTAAAAGGTCTTCTTTCAGAAGTATCCCTCTAAGTACTTTTAGATTCAGGGTACCTTGCTTAGATGTTCTCTGTTGTTTAGCCCAGTCTGTCCTGCTTTCCTCTTTGTCTTCCTCCTGCACAATCTTATCCAGTTGGGTTCTTCTTTGAGGTGGCCATTTCTGACCACCGCTGCAACCGCCTTCAGGAAAGGGAGTTTAGACCAGCCAAGGAGGAGAGATGCGGCTCCCCTCCACTCGGCTATCAATCTCCCCCCTTTTCACCACCTCTACGGGTGGCTTCAGCCCCGAATCCAAAGGATTGGGGCGCTCCAGCGGCAAGCACAGATCAAAACCGCGCATGATCGCGGATTTCGGTCTGTCGCTGAAGAAACCCAAACCGGAAGCCATAATTCCTCCTTTCTCCCAGTTTGATAACAGGCTCCTCTTCGCAGCCTGTGCCAGGCAGTGTGTGTGTTTGTGTGTGCGCATGTTTGTGTGTGTGTTGTTGTCTCCCTCCTAGCAACAATTTTTTTGTCGTGCCTCTGCAGGGTTACCTCTTCCACACCGTTGATGGCAAACATCAGGATTTGAAGTACATCGATCCAGAAATGGTACACCACCCGCAGGGATGGGATGCAAATATTTATACTACCGGTTCTGTGGTCATGGCTAGATGGGCCGTGTGACTGGGTGGGCGTGGCTTTTTTTTTTTTTTTGCTTGCTCCTGAGAGGCTTTCCTGAGGCCCAGGAGGCCAAAAACGGAGCTGGAGGGGTGGGGGGTCGCAGCAAACAGTCCCCTCCCATGTGCCCCCTTTTGCCTCCTGGGCCTCAGGGAAGCCTCCTGGGCAAAGCTGTAAGACAGCGAGGGGCATCCTGGAACAGCTGATCGTCGGAACAGCTGATCATAAGGAGACGAGGGGGGAAAAAAGAAATACTGGTTCATCCAAACTGGTAGCTGGTTTCTTTTACTACTGGTTCGGCCGAATGGTAGCATTGTTTACTGCCAAACTGGGCCCAACCACTGGCGATCCCTCACCCCACCCTCGGGAGTCAAGGAATTCTGTTTTCCTGATGGGAACAGAAAGCTTTCCGAGACGTAAAAAAGAAGCAGATATTTAATTCCCAGCTCCGTCCGCATGGATTTGCCCTAATTGCTTTTCATTTCTTAAATCTTGCGTTTTTTCCCCCTCCATGTCTCACCTCGACCTCTGTTCATCTTTGGATTTGTATTGTTGAATTTCTGAAATTAATTTACCTGACAGCGGTGTTCCCATATTTGAGGGGCTGTCACTCAAAAGAAGAGGGTGGGGGGAGGGAAACAACCTCTCAACCAAAGTACCTTTGAAAGCCAGACGAGGAACAAAGGGGTGACCATTGATCAAGGAGAGATTTCCCCTAGAAATAAGGAGGATTTTCCTGACGGTGAGAATGATGAGCCGGTGGAACAGCTTGCCACCACATCTTCTGGGTACTCCCATCACTGGGGGGTCTCAAGAAGAGACTGGACAGCAAACCTGTTTGGAATGGTCTGCGACTCCTCCTTGAGCGGGGGTTGGACTAGATGACCTCCAAGGGTCCTTTCTGACCTGTGATTCTGTAACAATCTGCTCGAGCAGGGAGTTGGACTAGATGACCTCAGGTCCCTTCATTCTGTAAGGGTCTCCTGCTTGAGCAGAGGGTTGGACTAGAAGACCTTCAAGATCCCTTCCCACTCTTGTCGTTCTAAGTTAATTCATTTGTGAAAGTGCTCAAACTCTTCTTTTTTGTCTCCCCAACCTGCACGCAGATCGTCGCTATCCTGAACGGCAGCTTTTCCGTCTTCATCACGCAGTGCGTGATCATCGATTGCAGGTTCCCCTACGAGTACGCGGGGGGTCACATCAAGGTATGCAATGGGGGTGGGGGGGCGCTTCAAAAATTTTAGCAACTGGTTCCCTGCTCGGTGGGCGTGGCCTAGTCGGCCTCCTGCATCACGGCGGGGGGGGGGGGGGTTGTTCGCCCTCCCCGGGCTCCGGAGGCTTTCCTCAAGCCACTGGGAGGGTGAAAATGGGCCTGTTTCCGGCCTTCCGGAAGCTCGGTGCGGGCCCTGCCCTAGCTGGCATCCAAAACGGTCCAAAGCGTGGGGTTTTCAGGGTGGGTGGAGCCAGCCAGGGGTGGGATTCACAAAACCGGTCATTTAAATAAGGGATAAAATTTAACAACCGGTTCGCTCAAACCGGGAGGATCCACCCCACCCCCGATGGGATGTTTGGATCTGCCCATCGCAGAGAAAGACGGGCTCGGCGGTCCCAACTCGGGGACTTTGCCCGCCAAGTGAAGTCCCCGGACAGAGTTCATCCAGGACAGTCCTCAAGTTTCACGGCCCCCCTACGGAGCCCCAAATGGAAGAAGTCGCTGAGCAAGACAGGTGGAAAGGGCTCGCCTTGGGAAGAATTGTGGGACCTACATCGCTGGAGGTGGCTTTTTTTTTCCTTCTTTTTTTTGAGAAAAGGCTGGAGAGCCACTGGCCTAAAATGGTGACGGGTCTGCTGCTCAAGCAGGGGGTTGGAGTAGATGACCTCCAAGGTCCCTTCCAGCTTGATTGTGATTCTTCTGATTTGTGATTAGTGAGTTCCGTCCCATTTTACAACTTTGCATGCCGCCTTTGTTGTTGAAAACCAGACAACATCACAACTGAACATTGCTAGGGTCTTTTGCACCGAACGTTGTGTAGTTGTGGTGAAGCAAAATCAGGAGAGTCATCTCCTGATCTTCCCCTTCTATTTCTACCTCTTCCCTCCCTCCTCCTGATCGAGGTTTACTTGAGGTTTACTCATCATGCTCCTCTTCAGGGTGCTGTCAACTTTCCCATGGAGCAAGTTATGTAGTTGTGGTGAAAAAAACCCAGAAGAGTCGTCTGCTTGAGGCAACTCTCTACGTGAGGTTTACTCATCCTCCTCCTCCTCCTCTCCAGGGCGCCATCAACCTTCCCATGGAGCAAGACGTGGAAGACTTTCTGCTGAAAAAACCTCTCGTGTCCTCCGGCAATAAGCGCATCATTGTCGTCTTCCACTGCGAGTTCTCCTCTGAGCGAGCCCCCCGGATGTAAGTATCCTGTAGACCATGCTCCCCAGCCTTTGCCGACTTGCCGGGTGTGGGGCTTCGGAGGAGCCGAGGGAGAGGAGGGGTGTGTCCATCTTCACTGTCTTTTAATTCAGGCCATTCTCGCCCGTTTCCTTTCTCCTTAACTCGATTTTCCCAATCTGCCCTGATGCCATTACCCGGTATGGTGAAGAGATGTCTGCATTCCCC